TGTGGAGTGGTGGTGGTGAAAACAGGCATCCTTGTCTCGTTGCTGATCTTGGGGGAAGTTTTGTCTCTCACTACTGAGTATCGTTAGTGTTTCATCATTTGAGGGAGTTCCCTTCTATTCCTAGTGCTTCATGTTGGTGAATGTGGACTACTTGGTTACAGGTGTGCACCACTGCGCCCGGCTAATTTTTGTATTTTTAGTAGAGATGGAGTTTCACCGCGTTGGCCAGGCTGGTCCCTAACTCCTGACCTCGAGTGCCACCCACCCACCTTTGCCTCCCAAAGTGCTGGGGTTACAGGTGGGAGCCACTGCGCCCCGCCTCATCTGGTTTCTTCGCTACAGAGTTACTGTCTTTTGTAATAATTCCTGTATTATTTTTGAGTGGGGTGAGACATCAATTTGTGACTCTCACCAGCAAGCTGAAGGCCCCCAGGAATCACTGGTGTAGAAGCTTGTGTGTTCTAATGACACGAAAGGGGAAGAGCAGTTGCCACAGCTGTCCCTGGGCAGATATTTGCGTCCAGTTGGGCGCTGCCTCCCAGGGTAGGACAGCAGGTGCTCACCTGCCCTCTTCCTGTTCACAGCCGGATTCGGACTCCACCAAACACTCAACTCCATCGAACAGCTCCAACCCCAGCGGTCCACCGAGCCCTAACTCCCCCCACAGGAGCCAGCTCCCCCTGGAAGGCCTGGAGCAGCCAGCCTGTGACGCCTGAAGCCGCCAGCACGCCAGAGGGCCCAGGGAGCTGGGGATGGCCTGCAGCGTCAGTGCCAAGACTGAGTGGGCCCGCCAGTGTTGTCCAAGGAAATGTAGAATCACTTTGTAGATACGGAGATGAAGACAAATCTTTATTATAATATTGATCAGTTTTATGCCGCATTGTTCGTGGCAGTAGACCAGATCCGTTCGTCTGCACAGCTGTGAGGCAACATGTCCCGTCTGCACATGAAGGACCCCACACACCCCTCTCCCACCCCTGACAGCCCGAGAAGGCGTGTGGGGCCCTGCTAATGCCACTTCCTCAGCAGAAACCCGTCATAATACGGCTGCCTCGGAAGCAGACAGCTGGGGACACAGCCTCAGTACCCAGTCTTTCCCTAGTTCCTGAAACCCTAGGACCTTAGGAGAATAGTAAGAGGTCGTCTAGCATCCCAGTGTCACTAGAATTTGGCAGACAGAGGAGAGTGGAGGCTAGTTTGTGGCCTTTTTATTCATGTAGTCATTGCACAGTCAGCCGCAGAAGTGTCATGGACAGAGGCCTGGGACCCTGACACCCTGTGTGCGTCCAGTTCATTCTGGGTCACAGCCATGAAGTGTCACCAGTATCTACTACTGTGAAGTCAGCTATGCTCTCTGCTTTCCACTCGCTTCCAAGCCTTCTGCCTCCTGTCATAAAACCAGCAAGTGTCGTGGTGCAGGCAGGCCCTGCGGCCTGCTGGGCTGAGAGGGGGCCAGAGCCCCAGGGAGCCACGCTGCAGCCACTGGGACACCCCACCTGCCCCCCCCATCCCCACCCCTGCCTGCATGGAGCCCTGGTGATTAGTAGCCCTTATGATCACGTAGACCCACCCAACACACTCCTGCACACTGGCCCTGGCCCACTGCGCGGCGATGCCCTTCGCGTGTATTTCACCTCACCCTTCCTTGTGTCAGATGTTGAGTGACCAGCTCTGTGGCCCTGTGTCATCAGAGGCTTGTGGTTAACTGTTGCGGCAGACACAGCTTCTCCGCAGCTTGGGCCGGGCCTCCGCTGTCCTCCCACCGGTCGGCTGCTTGGCAAGCCTGTTCAGGATGTGCTCTTCCCCAAGTTGGCACTGACTGGCCCAGCTCCACCAGCCCTGCCCACCCCACAGCCCTCCTGGGCCTTCTGCTGGACGGGCACCTGCAGGGGGGTTCTGGTTTTTACTTTTTTAATGTAAGTCTGAGTCTTTGTAATTATTGAATCGTGAGAACATTTTTGAACAATTTACCTGTCAATAAAGCAGAAGACGGCAGTTTTAAAGTTCCCAGCAGTCCGTCTGGATGTGATAACATGTCACCTGTGTGCGTCTGGGCCTCAGAAGTGCCTGAGCTCCAAAAGGCAGTGAAGGAGCGGCCTTGCCAGTGGAAGCTGTTCTCAGTAACTCGGAGGTCACGGAATCCTGCTACTGGAGTGTTGAACCTGAACGGGGCATCCTGGGACAGGACTGAAGGGTGAAAGGAGGGCAGTGTGCCTGTGAGCTCGAGCCAGGCAGCCCAGGGCCCCAGGAGGCTGTCCACAACCATACACGGTAACCCCGCAGCAGCCCCAAGGGACAGGATGGGGCAGGCCAGAGGCCCCTGGCAGAGGCAACAGCTCTCGGAGAGGCCTGGGCCAGGGTATTCCTGGTTGAGGTGAGGCTCGGGGTTACTTTCCCAAGTTGTTGTTATGTAAGGAGTTGCCTTCTATTTGCCACTGACCAGCACCCAGCAGGGGTGCACAAGATCCTGCAGCTCTGGGCCAGGCAACACCGCCTCGGCAGCTGCTGCAACAAGCAGCTCCCCTGGGAAGCCCAGAGCATCTCCTCGCAGCCCACACCCGGGGCGGGTCCCACGGAGAATCTCCTCCCACAGCCCACACCACGGGCGGGTACCCCAGAGCATCTCCCACAGCCCACACCATGGGCGGGTCCCCCAGAGCATCTCCTCCCACAGCCCACGCCAGGGACGGGTCCCCCAAAGCATCTCCTCCCACAGCCCACGCCCAGTGTGGGAGGGTCTCTGCTGGCACAGTCTCATCTATGAGTGAACTGAGCAGCGGGCAGCAGGTGGTGCCAGGTCAGCTCAGGTTTGCTCCCCAATTTGCACCTGACACTGAAAATGTGCCTTTGACGTGCTTGTGGGGGTATCAGCCACTTTTAAAACTCAAATGGTAGCCATTGGAGCCCAGGCGTCAACTGTGGCGGTCACTCGACATGACGGGGCACAGCACCAAGAGTGGCACGTTCCAACCACAACACAGACACACCCTGAAGCACAGTGCCCTGATCTGGGTTACAGGACATGTCCTGGTGTGGCGACTGAGCTGTGCCCCTCGGCAGAAGATTCTAAGTGGGGATCAGGCTATGACTGGTGGTGCTGGTGACATCTTCAGCCTAGATGCTGAAGTGCTGTCTGTGCCACAGTTTAGGTTGCACACACGGGGTCGGACGCTTGTCTGTGAGTGTAGGGGTGCACGTTTGCTTGTATGTGAGTGTAGGGGTGCACGCTTGCTTGTGAGTAGGGATGCATGCTTGCGAGTGCAGGGGTACACGCTTGTCTGAGTGCAGGGTCGCGCTTGTCTGAATGTAGGGTGCACGCTTGTCTCAGTGCAGGGGTGCACGCTTGTGAGTAGGGGTGCACGCTTGCTTGAGTGCAGGGGTTCACACTTGTCTGAGTGCAGGGGTGCACGCTTGTCTGAGTGCGGGGTGCACGCTTGCTTATGAGTGCAGGGGTACACGCGAGTGTAGGGGTGCACGCTTGCTTGAGTGCAGGGGTTCACGCTTGTCTGAGTCGGGTTCACGCTTGTGAGTGCAGGGTTGCACACTTGCTTGTCTGAGTGCAGGGTCGCGCTTGCTTGTCTGAATGTAGGGTGCACGCTTGTCTCAGTGCAGGGGTGCACGCTTGTGAGTAGCGGTGCACGCTTGAGTGCAGGGGTTCACGCTTGTCTGAGTGCAGGGGTGCACGCTTGTCTGAGTGCAGGGGTTCACGCTTGTGAGTGCAGGGGTGCATGCTTGCTTAGTGCAGGGGTACACGCGAGTGTAGGGGTGCACGCTTGAGTGCAGGGGTTCACGCTTGTCTGAGTGCAGGGGTGCATGCTTGTCTGAGGGATTCACGCTTGTGAGTGCAGGGTTGCACACTTGCTTGTCTGAGTGCAGGGGTGCACGCTTGCTTGTCTGAGTGCTTGCTTGTGAGTGCAGGGGTACACGCTTGCTTGTGAGTGCAGGGGTGCACGCTTGTGAGTGCAGGGGTGCACACTTGTCTGAGTGCAGGGGTGCACACTTGTCTGAGTGCAGGGGTGCACACTTGTCTGAGTGCAGGGGTACATGCTTGTGAGTGCAGGGGTGCACGCTTGCTTGTCAGTGCAGGGGTACACGCTTGAGTGCAGGGGTACACGCTTGCTTGTGAGTGCAGGGGTACACGCTTGCTTGTCTGAGTACAGCGGTACACGCTTGCTTGTGAGTGCAGGGGTGCACGCTTGCTTGTCTGAGTGCAGGGGTGCACGCTTGGTGTGATTGCAGGGGTGCATGCTGAGTGCAGGGGTGCACGCTTGCTTGAGTGCAGGGGTGCACGCTTGGTGTGATTGCAGGGGTGCATGCTTGAGTGCAGGGGTGCATGCTTGCTTGTCTGAGTGCAGGGGTGCACGCTTGTGAGTGTAGGGGTGCACGCTTGGTGTGATTGCAGGGATGCATGCTTGAGTGCAGGGGTGCACACTTGTCTGCAGGGGTGCATGCTTGCTTGTCTGAGTGCAGGGATGCACACTTGTCTGTGAGTGCAGAGGTGCACGCTTGCCTGTGTGAGTGCAGGGGTGCACGCTTGGTGTGATTGCAGGGGTGCATGCTTGTCTGAGTGCAGGGGTGCACACTTGTCTGATCTGCCTTCGCCGCGTGACGCAGGGAAGAGCCAGCTGGGTCCTAACCCCTGCTGCTCAGTGCTGGCACCGACCCCACCATGTCAGAGCCACCCCGAAAGGGAGAGCATGGCCTTGCCTTGCAGGGACTGCCAAAGTCTGGCTGCGAGGTAGCTATGCAGCATAGCCCCAAGGCCATCTGTGTCCACCTGGGGACCAGGCCCCTCCCAGTCCCAGCAGGTTAATGCCAGGAGGGATGCTTTTCTGCCCCTTTTCTGCCCCCTCCAGGCACCGCCTTTGGCTCCCTCCACCCCTTGTCTCTCTCCCAACCCTCTGTCCTCAAGCTTTTCACCACCCACAACGGAAGCGGGGGGAAAGCCCCCCCCTTAGTTCTGGGTTCAACTTCACAGACCCCAGCCTCTGGCCGCCCCAGAAGGTACAGGAAACACCTTTATTATACAAGGGCTCCCTGTCCTTGGCCCCTGCGGGGGGCGGGGTAGGGGAGGTCTAGGGGCTGGACGAGGGGTAGCCCCCAGGTCGACCGGGATGGCGGAGGTTCTGGGGCCAAAGGGGGTGGGGAGCTCCCAGGTTGACGGTGACGCAGCAGCTCAGGCCTCAGCCTCAGCCCCGGCGAACAGAGGGTTGACAAAGTAACTGTGGCTGGTGCTGCCTGTGGCCGCCTTCGAAGCCCCGCTGAGCGGCCGCGGCCCCGGCTGCGGGGTGACAGGGTCAAGAAGGCGTCGGGCGCAGAGTCCCGGCCTGAGGAGGCCCTGGTCTCCCTTCCCACCCCCTCACCAACTCCTTGGAAGCCGCCACGTCGAACACTGGGTTGTGGAAGCCCAGGGGCGCCCCGGCCGAGACCTCCTCCTCGCGCCTCCTCCACCTGAGGGCGTATCGGGGACGCGGCGTGAGCCCCTCGGGGCAGCCCCCAGCCCCACCCCGACCCCGTCCTCGCCCCGCGTACCTGAGCCTCCCTGCCCGGCGCAGCAGCGGCAGCGCCACCAGCAGCACCAGCAGCGCCAGCAGCAGCGAGGCCGCCACGCCGCCCGCCAGTCCAGCCGCGGAGCCGACACCTACGTGCGCGCCCGACTCCCGCATGGTCACCGCCAGGACGCCGAGGGCCTCGCCTGCGATGGAGGGGTTGGCTCCGTCACCCCCGCGACGAAGGCGCGACGGGGAGCGGCGGGACGGGGTGGGCGCGGTTACCATGCTCGGCAACGTCAGCCAGGAGGGCCCGGGCCAGCCTCCCCGCGCTGCCCGTCTCGGGCCCCACTTCTGCCATCACCACCTGGATTTCCGTGTCGGCCTCGCGGAGCCGGGGCGAGCGTGGCACCTTGGACACGGCCACCTGCAGCCCCTGGTACTGAGGCTGGGGAGGGGGACGGGGTTGGCTTGACCCGGAGCCTTATGGGGACGCTGAGGGCAGAGGCGGATGGAGGGCAGGTGGGCGGCCGCAGGGGCCCCTGCAGAAGGGGAGTCCTGGAGGAAGCGGTAGGGCTGGGGACGCCCCTCAGCTGCCCGCGCGGCCCCATTACCAGGCCCAGGAAGGTGCCGAGTACCCGCGCCCGGTACCGCTCCAGGTCAAACGTGGGGCCGTGGGTCAGCAACACGACTGCTCCTGGGGCGGGGCGGGAGGGCAGGGGTCAGCGCTGTGGATCCGGACCCGGCAGGAAACTGGCAGGGGCCGAGCCTGGTCCTCTAAGCGGTCCCAGCAAGCAGGGCCCGGGCGGCACGCTCACCGCAGAGGTCGCAGCACTGGCCCTGGGGCCGGAGGGCGCCGTGGCAGTCGGCCTGGGGGCAGCGGCCGCCCAGCGGCTGGAGCAGAGCCGCGCAGATCCACGGCTGCGCCTGGGGCGAGGGGCGGTGGTTCAGCGCGGAGGGCCAGGGCGAGGCGTCCGAGAGGTGAGTGGGCCAGAGACCGCGGGGGTCCCGGGCACAGTCCCGACCCCCGCGCGGCCCCGAAACTCCACTGCGGCGGCGCTCACCTCCGCGTTGCCGCAGACGCAGCCCGACGGGTCGGCGCAGTCCTCGGGGCCCACGCTCAGCACGCCCGGCCCGTGGAAGCGCAGGCGGCCCGCGCGGGACGCCAGGAAAGCAGCCAGGTGCTCGTCGCTCGTGAACGTCTGCGGGAAGCCGGGTCCCCACCGGAGCCAGCCCGAGGAGGAGACATCACCGGAGAGCTCATTTCACCCACGTGTGCAGCCGGGGAGGGGCGGGACAGGGGACCCGAGCCTCCCTCCCCGCCGTACTCACCCGGCCCAGCGCCGAGATGCTGCGGACCCGCACGGGGCTAGCGCCAGGGCCGAGCCCCACGCGGAAGGAGGCACTGGGCGGAAAGACGACGTCGTCGTGGCGGCAGGGCACGCGCTCGGCGTCCACGGAGAAGAGGCCAGGTGCCTCGTCCCCGGAGCGCCACAGGTGCGGGTCATACCAGGAGAAGCGGTCAGGGTCGCGGAAGACCGCAGGGTCGCCTGAGCCCGGGCGCATCCCTGAGCTCCAGGGAGCCACGCCCCGCGCTACGCCACGCCCCTGAGCACGAGCTCCCAAGCTCCCCCTCGGGACACTCCCGCCCCTCCCCAAAGCCCCGCCCCCGGACACGGCCTTCTCTCCGCCCCCCGACCCCGCCCCCTCCGGTCCCGCCCCCCGCTCACCCCTCCCAGAGCCCCGCCATGGCCCTACTGCCTCACCGGCGCCACAGTCCCGGTGCGAGCCCGCGTCTGAGATGCCGAATCCGGCTCCCGAAGCCAGGACGAGTTCCCCATCCAGGGGCAGGAGCTGCAAGAGGCACGGGCTGAGGCGGCGCCACGCGGGAGACCCGGCCTGTTCCGGGCCCACCCCGCCCCCAATGCCCTGAGACGAGAAGCTAGACCTAGTCCGCGGAGGGGACCCGGGGGAGCTCAGGCCCGGGGTCCTCGGACTGGCTGAGGCTGGCAGAGGAGGAGAGGAGAATCTGGCCTGGGAAAGGTGGGGCCGTGTGTGCAAAGCCCCGAGCGGGCACGGCCCAGTGTCCTGTCCCTGAGCTGGAAGTCACCCAGGCCAGGGACAGAGCCCGAGCCTGGAATCTGGAGGGAGCCGCTGGGGAGTCCGGCAGGGAGGACTCTTGCCAGGGCCTGTCCCCTCCCGCATCCCCTCTGAGAACGTGCACAAGCCAAGGGCTCCCGGGTTCCAGGAACTAGTTTCAAACGTTGTCCGGCCCCTGGGGAGCCTGAGGCCGAGCTCTGGGTGTGAGGGAGGAAGGGAGGGGCTGCAACCGGGGTGCAGGAGGAGTCGGGGGCTCGCGGGCGGTGGAGTTGCCCCTGCTGTTTCCTAGGCCTGGGCTCGGCATCAGCTCCCTCACCACATAAGTGAGGCCATAGCCCAGGCCTGGGGTGTCAGCAGAAATATGGGGGTCTGACCACCCGCCCCTCCACTCTTCCTCTCCTCCCAGCGCCAGGACTTCGGCCTCCTGCCTTCTTGCTTCAGGGGCTGAGGGTGAGCCCTGGGCCAGGGCAACCCTTGGTGCCGGGTTATGAGGGGCTCAGCACAGCAGGGCGTGCCCCCCCAACCTCACCCCCCACCCGGGCCAGGGCCCACTCTTCGGCTTTTCCAGGAGCCCTGCAGCTGATCAAGAGGGCAACACCCAAGCGGCGTTCCGGGCACTCCTGAGGGTGTGGCACGGCCAGCAAGCCAACTCCACCCATGGGTGCACAGGCGGAGCCCAGGGGGCAGAATGTGTCACAGTACGAAGCACCTCAGGAACAGGGAGGGGTTCCCAGGAGGAAGCATGGCCAAGAACACGTTTTTTTAAAGAAGGAAGGGAAAAATATAAACGTGAAAATCATAATTGAGCAGATGGGCACAGTAGGTTAAGTCAGGGGTTCGAGACCCGCCTGGTGAGGAATGTAGTGAGACTCCATCTCTAGAAAAAAATGTAAAAATAAAAAGAATATAATTTTTAAATATAGGGCACCGTTCATAATGGAAACCGAACTTAAGGCCGGGCTCACACCTGTAATCCCAGCACTTTGGGAGGCCAAGGCGGGCATATCACGAGCCCAGGAGTGGTGAGACCCCATCTCTACAAAAAATACAAAAATTAGCCGGGTGTGGTGGCGCAAGCCTGTAGTCCCAGCTACTCGGGAGGCTGAGGTGGGAGGATTGTTTGAGCCCAGGGAGGTCAAGGCTGCAGTGAGCCGTGCTGGTGCCTGGGCAACAGAGTGAGACCCTGTCTCAAAAAACCAAGCTTACAAAGTATTGAGGAATTAACCAATACAAGACCTCTACAGGGAACACGGTAAGACTCGAAGA